TACGTGCAACCGGAGCATACGTATCAAAATAGTCAATACCGGGTTTTTGTCTAAAACCTTGAATGACTAACCGGGCTTTGAACTTGTCAATAGTCCCATTAACATTCATTTGCTTTTTGAAAATCCATTTAAAACCAAGTGGTTTAGAACCTGGAGGCAAATTAGACAACACCCATGTATTGTTCTCAAGAATTGATGACATTTCATCATTAATTGCTTCCTTACAAAAAGCACTATCACGAGACTCCATGGCCTCTTGATAAGTCTTAGGATCATCTTCAATACTATAGCAATAATAGTATTCAAGATTAATTTCATCCCTTGAACCTTCCACCGAATACAGTTGGAAGTCGGATCCAAAATTTTTCGCAATATGGCCTCTTTTGCTTCTACGAAGCTCTTGTGGTTCGTGCACATTACCACCATCTTAACTTTCTGAATTTTGCTCTTTATGAGCACCAAAATTCAGATCCTTATGCCTTTGAATCGATGAAAACCGCATCTCATCAAAAATTGCATCTCGTGATTCGATAACAGTGTTAACCGAAACCGAATCATTAGGTTCTATTACATAAAACTTATATGTCTTGGAATGTTCAGCATATCCAATGAATATACAATCAATTCCACGTTCTCCCAAATTCTTCTTTTTGGGCTCGGTGATTTTTACAACTGCCCGACATCCCCAAACCCGAAAATAACTTAGATTCAGCTTTTTCTTGAACCAAAGTTCATATGGGACTGTTTTGTTCCTTTTATTTGGAACCCTATTTAATACATAGCAGGCCGTTAACATGGCCTCTCCCCAGAATCCTTCACTTAATCCCGAGTAAGACAACATCGAGTTTACCATTTCCTTTAAAACTCGATTTTTGCGTTCAGCAATACCATTCTGTTGGGGCGTGTAAGGTTCAGTGGTCTCATGAATGATACACACTGATTGGAAGTATATGGGATCCATATATTCACCTCCCCTATCAGTCCTGAGACATTTAACTGGAATGCCCAATTGCAATTCCACCTCGCTTTTGTATATTTTGAATTTATCTAAGGCTTCATCCTTGAATGTAACAAATACACATAGCAAAATTGAGTGCAGTCATCAATAAAAGTGACTACATAATTTTTATTTCCCAAAGAATGAGTGGAGTGAAAATCACACAGGTCACTGTGTACAAGTTCCAAAACAACTGAATTTATAGTCACACTAGGAAATGGTTGTTTTGTCACTTTTGTAAGCATGCATGTTTTACATTTATCAGATGTCATATCAAAGGCTGGAATTACTCCATCTTTTGACATCTCATGCATCCTTCTAAAGTTGACATGACCTAATCTTACATGCCAAAGCATAGATTTATCAACATTAGAAGCAGAAGATACAAATGCAGAATTTTGAACAGGTAATAATTTGTCAACAAGATTTAAACGAAACATTCTATTATTTAAATATCGAAAGTCAATAAACATTCCACCTTTAGACAAAACAAACTTATCTGACTCAACAACTTGTTTAAAACCAGCAGAATTCAAACAACTAGAACTAACAAGATTCTTGCGAATCTTGGGAACAAACAAAACATCAAATAACTTAATTGTCTTTCTAGAAGTAAATTCAAGACACACGACACCTAAACCACAAATAGGAATAAAAGAATCGTCTCGCATTTTCAGCACCGACCCATCTTCAAGCGGAGTTAATGTTTCAAACATCCGTTTATCCTTGCATACATGGTTCGTTGCTCCGGAGTCGATCCACCAAGCAACATCATCATCCTGCACATAGAATGATTCAGGGATAAATGAAACATAATAAACATAATTCTAATTAGAATTATCAAAGTTAGTCAAAAACAGACGTCCTTTAACTGGGGCCGAAGACCCGTTCACTTTCCCATTGGCTCCACTGTTTCCAGCACCATTGTTGCCCAAATTCACACGACAATCACGCTTGCAATGCCCAACCTGATTGCACCTCCAACAAACCAGATCCTTTCTCTTTTTGTTGGAGTTTCTTGGGACATGTTCCTGCTTACGTTTGCCATGTCCTTTGTGGTTCTGGCTCCTTGGTTTGTTTTCAACCATATTAACCGAGGGCTGTCGAGGTTCAACTTTTCCTTTGGGTTTTTCAGATTTGTCACTTTCCTTCTCACGAAGAGATTCTTCAATACGAATGTGACTAGCAAGTTGAACCAATGACAGTTCCTCCTTTTGATGTTTCAAGTTGTGTTTGAAGTCTTTCCAGGATGGAGGCAGTTTGTCAATGATGGTTATCACAGCAATGGACTCATCCATATTCATACGGTGCAGTTTAAACTGACCGTATATGCCAAGGAGTTCATTGAATTGTTCAGTAATAGACCTTGAGTCGTCCATCTTATAATTGTTAAAGTCACTGACTAGAAACTTCTTACCAGAAGCATCCTCGGTGATATACTTCAACTCAAGGGTGTCCCACAACTCCTTGGCACACAAGGCTTCACTATGGATATCAAATAAAGCATCAGACATACCGTTCAGAATGTGACCTTTGCAGATGTAGTCATCGTTGTCCCACTTCTGTCTCCTTATCTCTTCAATAGTCTCAACAGCACCTTCCTCTGGCTTCGTTGGTCTTGGAGTAGTCAGCACGTATGCTGCTTTCAGAGTAGTCAGCATGAAGTGCATCTTCTTCTTCCAACGCCTGAAGTCGACACCTTCGAACTTCTCCAACTTTGCAAACTTAGTAGTCATCTCGCGGATTGAGTCACCCATCTCCAGGAACAGTAAATATCAGTTCGAATGTTGGGAAATTTAGGGTTTGTGGTGGAGACCTGGATACCAACTTGGATCGTGATGTCACTTTCCGAACTAATATTTCCACCCTATGCCTGGGTTGCAAGAAATTCAGCCTAGGATAATCCAAGTGGACACTTACGATTCTAGGCATAGAAATTGTAAGCCAATATGCTAGAGGATTCTGTGAAAGTATGATGAAAAAAGAGAGCTTAAGATTGTACCTCTCTTCTGAAAATAAGAGCCATTTATATAATAAACGATATTAGGGTTTCATTAGGGTTGGGCCGCTATGGATTCCTTTGGAAGCAAGTCAGGGTAATCCGGATTTTAATGAGGATTTAGGGTTACCAAAACTAACGAGTTTCGTTAGTTTTACCATAATCACCCTCAAGAATCGGAATATCCCACTATGTACCCATATGTAAAATTCGGAGAGGTTTTGGGGCGCTTCCCCTCGACCCCGCCCGCTGACCTGGCAGCAGGACCCCAGCCAGGGGCTCTGCCATTTGGACCCCGCTAGGGGCGCTGCACCTTTGGAAACCCCGGACCCAGGGGCGTTGCCCCCGAACCCCCGACTAGTCGTCGAACCGACTACTAATTTGATCTTATACATGTGTACACTCCGCACCAACCCGTACACATATTAGAAAACAAATTAAGAAGCCCCTTAGCTCACATGCTAATTCCAGTTACATAAAATGACATTGTGACACTAAAATGACCAACATAGTTGGGTTAAAAATAGAGGAAAATTTGGTATTTGTAACTGGGCGGACCGGTATTGTTCGTCTTTCAACATTTTGTAATTGTTTGTGTTCTTGTTTTCTTTTGTCCTCTCTTGTTCTTTATACGCAGTGGTTTTAATAAATTTCCGTCAGTTCCAATAAAAAACATTTGATACAAGTCTGTGATTTCCCACACATCGATTTACAGGTAGTATGAATCATTTTTTGAACGAAGTCATTCGGAGACCACCTTTAATGGAAGATTGTGGTCCAATTCTCGACCCTACTTTTTGGAAATACAATATAATGCAAACAAGAATTGAGAACATATAAGTTACGAATATTATTGAATGGGTTATTTTTATAAAAAAAAAAAAAACTTTGTATTTTACCTCTTTTTCGTTTTAAACCACAAATTATTATTTTTTTCTGAAATAAACCACACTTTTATGATTGGCTTGTTATTTCAAGGGAGAAACCGGTTACCAATGTAACCCAAGCGTACATATAAATTATTTTAAATATATCATGTAATACATATCATTAGATGATGAAGGAATATAAACATTCGTGTTTGAAGTAGACAATTATAAAAAGAAGATCAAATTTGATGTAAACGGATAATGATAGAGCATCAAGAAAAATCATCTAATCGTAAGAAAATCAGCGGCGCAAAGAGTATGTGGGTTTGCAAGAGAAGATTGATTCGCTAGCAGTCGTAAAACAATCTTAGTAAACAAACTACTACTAGGGTCGATGAAGACGATCACACACTCACACAGCCCCAAGCTACATAATCTAAAGACGATGTTGGCAGGGGCGGATCCAAGGGGTATCCCAGGGTAGCCTGGGATGCCCTTCAAAAAAAAATTCGGTAGTGTAATTTTTTTAGAAAATTTTCGTTTTATGTATTGTATATATACACATCCATTCACTTCTAAATACAAACAAATAGCTAGTCTATTGGTTAAGGTGTTGGCTTATTGAAGCAAATGTCTTAGGATCAATTCTTGCTCCTTACATATCCTTTGTTTACCTTTCTTTTATTTTTCTAGCTATTCTATTCTTTTATTTTTCCAGCTCTTCTATCCCACATCGTCAAACATATGTAAACTCAGTCATTTTCATATATTATATAAATTTGTTATCTTCATACTTCATTTGATATTTACTTTGAGTCCCTTATCGATTCAAGTGTCAAAAGATATTTCAACTTCATGTTCATAACAAGACTTGAGGTTAGCTAAGGATTCGATTAAGGTTTCGGTTTAAAATTGAAACCAAACCGGGGAAAACCAAGTACAAACTGAAAACCGAAACACCGAACCGATGGGTTTGAGTTCGGTTCGGTTTTAAAAGTTTCAAAATTGAGGTTGTGGGTTTTGGGTTCGGTTTTAGGTCAAAATCGACCCGAACCGGTCCATGCTTAGCCGTTGCGGTGATATCCCGGAAAAAAATTGGAATATCCCTTTACTTTAACCATGCCTTCGCCACTGGATGTTGGAGTTGCATAACGAAAAGAACACTGGTAATCTTAATAACACAGATCAGATGGAACTCGAGCAGCATCTTGTAGATCATAAAAAGGCTCAATCTGGTACTTACGATGAACGTGTGAAGTTAGATCTAGACGATCATAAACGAAGTTTCGGTGAAGAGCTTAATAATGACCAAGAGAAGTTCGATCAGGCTCAATAGGAATTAGATAAATTGGAGAACACCGACGAGTTTAATAATAACCGGATTCTGACGTTGATGGAGCTAGAAGCTACAGATCCTAAGATATGAAGTCGAAACATCTGGTTGAACATAGTCCCGACAAGCTTAATAACAACCAAGTTCAGATGGTTGGGAGATCGGGCAGCCTGTATATGACGTCATCCAAAAGGCACAATCGGAATATGATATCAGAGTTGAAACCATGGTGTCCGATGTATGTGAGCCTAACGTCGGTATAGAAGCTCGTGATATCAATCTTGAGGCACGGGTGGAACCGAAATGGGAACAGAGCATAATAGAGCTCACTGATGATCAACCTGAGATGATGGAGGAGATAAAGTCGTCTGTAAAGGAAGAGAAGCCCTAATTTTAATAAATGTGGATTCTACGGAGACAACTTTAATGTGTTAATGGAGGTGAATGAGATAATGAAAGTTGAGAATCCATAAGTTAGTGTGAAAGGGAGACAACTTTAATGTGTTACCGGTTGGTAACCTACACAGCAGATTACAAGATGAAATAACAAGGAATTGAAAAAATTTGGCTTTTTTTTAGAAATAAAATTAATTTTTGGTCTAAAATGAAAATATAATGTTTTTTATGAAAAAAAAAACCCTTACCGTGAATTCCGGAAAACCAAAACTCCAAAATACGAAATATTATGAGAGAAAAGGATATAACCCAAAAAACAAGAACACGATAGATAAACGTGCGCTTTTATATTATTGAGTTTTGTCAAACAAATCCATAGCACCTAGAGACTAGTAAAATGGTTCAAAATGTGAAAAAAAATATATATATATATATATATATATATATATATATATATATATATATATATATATATATATATATAATTTTAACAGTCACTAACCTTTAGATATTTATAAAAATAAAATAAATAAATAAATAAAAGTTTTGCATGTTTTTCAACAATAACATCGAGATCCAGATGTGATTTTTGGAAATTCATGATAAGATATTAATCAAATTTCGTGAAACCTTTTAATGGGCAATCTAACCATGATCCGAAAGATCGGTGCTTATTAAGATTGCGGCAATTTGGTTTTTGGTTAATCCATTTTTTGGATTGGATCACATCTAAGAGGCAATTTTCCTAAGCGCTTTAAAGGTGCTCTTTGTTATTTAAGAAAAATTATTTTTATCACTTCTAGTTGTGACGCATACCATATGTGTATCACTTATCTTCCAGTTGTTTGTTTTTTAACAGACTTCTTCCTTAAAAATTGGTGTGCGTGTGCTGCGTGGCATAACAATAGACTCTATTCTTCAAACAAATTTATCACCTTATTTTAAGTTATATTATTCAGTATAGATTTGTTTTATTTTTTTTTCAACAATTTTATTATTTTAATAATATTATGAAATATATTATAAACAATTCAAGTATATCTCTAAATATTATTAAAAGATAACATTTAATTCTAAATTGAAGAAATCAGGGTCATTGATTGCATTTCAATCCTATATTTTCCACCCTTTGATTGTTTGTTGACATCATCTTTGTCAACCCTTTCATTTTTGTCCACAAATTTTATAAAACATATATTATGTTTTAAATTAGGAAGTCTATTAATGACAATTAAATTTCATCAAAAATAAAATGAATTAAATTGGTAATTCTATTAATGACAATTAAATATCACCAAAAATAAAATGAATTAAATTAAGAATTTTATTAATGACATTTAAATATCACCAAAAATAAAATGAAAAAATGCTCCCCCCATCCTCAATTCCAGTACCCCTACCCTCTCTCCCTTTTTTCTTTACATAATTTATCTAACCTTAGTTTTGTAGTGGAAAAGAAAATTGACAAAATATATATATATATATATATATATATATATATATATATATATATATATATATATATATATATATATATATATATATATATATGTGGGCTTCGATTTGTGTAGATCAGTCTTGTGTTCGATCATCATGAAAGAATGAGGAATGATATAGAGATAAATTTCTTTGGATTTTACTTTAATTTGATCGTAGTTTAGATCGATTTTGGGTACGTTTTAGATTATGTTTCTTTTATTCTGTTTCAACTATGAAGTTTCAATCTATAAAACCTTTCGATTTAAGTTTAAATCCATAATGGTTACATTTTCTGAATCTGCTTCGATTTTTGTTCTTATGATCTCTATTGTTGATTTTGATTTTTTAAGTTATAGATATCTGGATTGTTTGTAAATATTATTAAAAGAGAACCTTTAATTCTAAATTGAAGAAATCAGGGTCATTGATTGCATTTCAATCCTATATTTTCCACCATTTGATTGTTTGCTGACATCATCTTTGTCAACCCCTTTATTTTTGTCCACAAATTTTATAAAACATATATTATGTTTTAAATTAGGAAGTCTATTAATGACAATTAAATCTCACCAAAAATAAAATAAATTAAATTAGTAAGTCTATTAATGACAATTAAATCTCACCAAAAATAAAATGAATTAAATTAGGAATTTTATTAATGACAATTAAATATCACCAAAAATAAAATGAAAAAATGTCCCGCCCCATCCTCATTTCCAGTACCCCTACCCACTCTCCCTTTTTTCTTTACATATTTTATCTAACCTAAGTTTTGTAGTGGGAAAGAAAATGGGGGAAAGAAGAAATAAAATATATGTGGGCTTCGATTTGTGTAGATCAGTTTTGTGTTCGATCATCATGAAAGAAGGAGGAATGATATAGAGATAAATTTCTTTTGGATTTTACTTTAATTTGATCGTAGTTTAGATCGATTTTGAGTATGTTTTAGATTATGTTTCTTTTATTTTGTTTCAACTATGAAGTTCCAATCTATAAAACCTTTTGATTTAAGTTTAAATTCATAATGGTTACATTTTCTGAATCTGCTTCGATTTTTGTTCTTATGATCTGTATTGTTGATTTTGATTTTTTAAGTTATAGATATCTGGAGAGCAAAAGGATTGACACAACAGCACCGCTACCTCTCATCCATTTTTTCGATTTTGAAGATATGTCCACTAGGTAGTGAATTTGTATATGTCGATTTTCTTTTTTATTTTTACATTTTTGTATATGCATTTAGTCAATGATTTTTTTTGTGGCTTACCAAGTCATGAATGGAAGATATACTCGAGTCAATATCTATAATGCTTTACCCATTCAATCTCTTCCTGGATTTGGAGATGGAATTTAAACCCTTATACCAGTTAGTGATCCACATTTCTACAACTCAGCAAAACCTAGTGGTGATATGTGTTTTGATTTATTGTAAAAAACATCTTTTAAAGATACAAATTGGGCTCTCAGAAATAAGTTATTCACCTATCCTTTTTTAATATTACAAAAAAAAACATCTTTTAGACTCAATAGCAAAGAAAAGATAAAATTTTAGTATACCATGTAAATAGATTACATCGATAAATCTTATTGGAAAAAATGTTTGGGATTGATTAATTTTGGTTAATTAGCAGGGTTTTTTTGGTTAACTTGCGTTGTATGGGCATGTCGAGAAGCATAGTAAGAACCTTTCACAACCTTATTCTTTAGTTTAACTGGTTTGAATCTTCTTATTAAGTTTACTTTCTCAAGGATAAATGAGTACACCATACACTCTTGAAAATAGGATTGGGAACATTGTGAGTATCAAGGTTTTCTCAGCAATAAGAGAAGATATTAGTATAAAAGTTGCAATATAAATAATTTTTAATTACATAATAATAACTAAACAAAGATATGTGAAGGATTATCTTTATAATTTAAATTGCAATATATAACATAAAAAATCATATGAAATTTTCATTATGTTCCATTCCATGCCTCACAAACATGTTTCTGGAATGGAATTAATTATTCTATTATATTGCTTTTACGATTACCGATCCATTCCATTTCTTTGTTGTTCCATTCTTTGCAACCTCACATATCTCAAAAAAGTAATTCAGAAATTCATCATACAATAGAAAATGTTTTATAAACTCCTACAAGGGAAGAAGTAAGATAAGACTAAATGAGTGTATGGTGTTAATCTAATTATGATGTTCTTCATCTCTATTCGCATGTTTCTAGCTTGTTTGTAGTATTGTCTATAAAATATTGTTGTTATATTTGAAAGTTCATTTTACCCTTTTCATCTTTTTGTGTGTATATTTTAATCTTTCGGGTTTTTTAGAATATTTGAAGGATCGTTTTTGCTTGGGAGTGGGGTGAAGTCAAGTGCCCTAAAACTAGAGGGTAGTTGTATTTAGAGCCACTTAAATATTGAAGATTTTTGTTGGCATTAATTTCAATAATCATATGTACCTTAGAAGAGATATCATAAGTATAGTTTATTTTTTATAACGTTCTTTGTATTTTTATTAAATGTTGTACATGTGATGTCTACAGGGTGTTGGTATTTTTTTTGTTGGCAAGTTATTACGCTATCTAACACCCCAACAATCTATAATATTTGTATAAGATGGTGACAATTATTATTTTTTATTGCAGCTTCTCTTCATATTGATTATCCAATGTGGTTTGAGTTCTGAAATGTTGACACTGAGAGGATTCCACATTGTGGGGCGTTGGAATTCATTACAGAATGAGGCATGATTTATATGTCTTATTGGGTATTGATGGAAATGTTTAATTCTTGCTCATGTAGATCGATAAGTATTTTACAATATGCTCTTTTAACCTTATATTAAGACATTTTCTGAAAAAAATTGCTTTTAGTATTGAACTTTGAAAGAAAAAAAAATCATATATAACATCGTACTCTTAAAAAAATGACTTTTTTGGATTATTTTTAGTTGATATGGAAAGTTACATTTTTTGTATATTGAAGATTATTTAAAGGATTGTTTTTTGGGAAAAAAAATATTCATTAATAGCATTAAATTTTACAAAAAATAAGGGTATGTATGGGGCGGTTTGGTTCAGTTATTGGTCAAAACTGAATCGTAACCATTACAATTGGTTAATGTATTTCAATAACCATTAGGTAACGGTTAATATTGGTTTTGGTTATGGTTTTTGACAGTTAATGGTTAATGGTTAATGGTTAATACCGGTTAACCAAAATGGTCCAAGATGACATAAAAATAAAAATATTTCTCTACAAAAATTGAAAAACACAAGGTCTATTGTTATAAAAAGTGAATGATTGTGTATATATAATTGTATTGATAGAATATTACTTATCATATCTAACTCCAAATAATAACCCTTTAAATTTTCAATTCTCAATATAATTACCTACCATATATTTAAATTTATATTATATTAAAAACAATATTAACATTATTGGTTCGGTTCGGTTTATAATGGTTCGGTTTTTGATGAAAACCATAACCAAACCATATGTATTCTGTTAATCAAAATTAGAAATCGAACCATATCTTTTAGTAATGGTTCGGTTATATCAGTTAATTTGGTTATGGTTCGGTTTTTTAGATAAAATGCTCACCCCTAGCAAAAAATTTCATTAATAGCATCGTAGTTTCAAAAATATTCATTGATAGGATTGTTACTTTATTTTTTTTATAGTGCCACTTTTTTTATAGTTTTATATGTACATTTTTATATGTTCCCAGCGTTTTACGCAGGTCATAATCTAGTTTTATATAATTTCAAAACCATTTGCTAAATTTTATATAAATATTTTTTTTGTTTTACATCGTCTATAATCAAATATTAATAAATTATAAAGTTAATCACTAAAATTACCAAATTTATTGAAGATAACTGGAAAAATAACTATCGTATTCGAACATTTAACAAAAAAAAGGTATGTTGTTCCCTAAATTAATAATTTTATTTATTGTTATTTAGCAAATATTATGTTTAATTATTTTATATAAACGTTTTTAAAAATCATATCACCACAATGATCTATATATTTGATTTGCATATAATTAAACTAAATAAATTTTTGATTTAGAATTACTTTTAACTATCGTATGGTTATTTTCAGTTTATTGCAGCAACCTACAGACGTTAAAAAACAAACAAACTTCTTATTACAAGTTGCAGTCGTTTAGTCCACCTCTTTTGATGCAAAGGGTTGCAGATATGATGTGTAGACTTCAGGGGTTTTCGCTTTAGATAAAACAAAGAGTAAATTACACGAATGGTCCCTATGGTTTAGGGTAATTTACACGTTTGGTCTCTAACTTATTTTTTAACTTGGAAGGTCCCTACACTTTTGTTTTTGTTACGCGTTTGGTCCCTGTCTTACCTAAAAAGACTATTTTGTCATTGATTTTTTAATTTATTTAAATAAACACACCTCCAACCTCACCCCCATTACATTACATTATCTTACCTACCCCACCATTTTTCCCTATTTAAATAATAGTTTTTTTAGGTAAGGCAGGGAGCAAACGCGTAACAAAAACAAATAGTAGGGGCCAAGCGCGTAACAAAAACAAACAGTAGGGACCTTTCGAGTTAAAAAAATAAGTTAGGCACCAAACGTGCAAATTACCCCAAACCATAGGGACCATTCGTGTAATTTACTCTAAAACAAATACTACTTAAATGTGCTCATTTATAGGGTTAAGAGACAATGGTCTAAAAGTGCATCGGAAGAACACCCTCGGTATAAATTGATGGATTTGGCTTTAGGCTGACTTGTAAGCTCTGAGAGTCGGCTCAACCTAACTTCAGTCGATTTGGTCATTCGCATGGGATGACTAACCTCCGGTTAGTCTGTTTAGCTTCAACATGAGGCTAACCTAAGATTTGGTCATTACACAACTCTATAGTTATGCAAATAATTTGATCATCAACACACCCCAATTCCAACATGATATACTTGTCATATATATAAGCATTATCCCTGATATGATGCATTTCAATAATAAACAACTTTAAACGGAAGATGAATCATCACATAATAATGTTTTAATAAACGTGTCCACAAACTGGAAACTATAAAAGTTTAAGACTTTTCTAGAAAGTAAAAACACTATTGGAATACTACTTAAAACATCAAACTACCTGTTCAAGAACAAATCTTCTAAAAACAGAAACATAATTTATAAAAAAAAAAAAAGACACAAGTAGAAATTTTCACATAATACAAAATACAAAATATGATGACGTCAGCTAGCTGATATAGTGCACGTGTTAATCCCATCCTTACAGTCTCTAGTAAGATCATTAAACGTCTCAATTTGCTTTTTACCCCTCAAAAACACCTCAGTGTCAACAGAAGCCCTCATATATCCATCAAATTCAACAGGAACACCATTATTCAGCTTACTCATTTCACTATACCACTCACTATTTTCATCCCATAATTCTCTATATTCATCAAGAAAATGAGTAGAATACTTATCTTTCAAAGGCTCAAAAAAGGAAACATCTTGTTCATCAGTTGCTATATAAAGATTCCTTCCATCATCAACTTTATCTTGAAGGGATGATAAAAGAGCTTCAGGTGAAGTATCCGAAGCAAGATTCGGCCATTGTTCTGTGTTTTTAGCTTTTTCGCCTCTTACAACATGAACAGAATCAAAATCCCAATTCATTTTTGAAGATATTGATGAAACTATGTTCATTAATCTTGTTGATTTCCATATCATGTGCCATGGTCTTTGAATAACAGATTCTGCTTCACCTTCACATACTCTGTACCAATAATTATCAGGTTCTACACTTCCGAATTTTCTCATTATCAAAGTGTCCTTCACATGAGCCATTTTCATGGGAGTTACTCTGAAATCTTCCACTAGTGAAATACTTAATCCATCTTTTTGATGCCATTTGTTCCAGTCTGACCAGAATTGACCTTGGTCCAACACACTAGCAGACTCCTTCAAATGCTCAAAGTCAAAGTAGAATCTGAAGTCTTTACCTTCTTCATCTTGACCTGACTTTGTGTAAACAGATGATAAACAGATACTCAAGTCCATTACTAAAGTTCTGTTTAAGTACTGAGCTTCACCTAAAGCACACATGAAACTCCATAGGTAATGATCCATGCTCTTGCATCTTTCTCCACCACCATTGTAGAGTAAGTACTTACCTTGATCGAATGATTTCTCTGATTCAACAACAGGGAGGGAGTCGTTTACAGTTTCTCCAACCACTTGTATCCCACTGTTCTTATCATCTTCTCCCATTGGGGTTTTCTCAAATCCGGGTTTCTGATGCTTCTTCCTCTTCCTTGCGTTACCTCCTGAATGATAATCACCAATGGAGACTACACTAAGGCTGCAATTCACAGATCTAGAGATTACAAAGCTCCGATAGTCTTTGTAAAGTGAAGCGGTTTTCCCTTCTTTAGGTCTGAATCGCCATGCCATGTGACAAGAACTGTCATTCATTCCACGAACGGGTTTCCCGAATCTGTAGAAATGTATATCCTTGAACTGATCGATAGCAGCACTCATCATGAGATGAAAAACTTCTGGATCTGTACAATCTATAGGTTTATCAATCTCGTCACTACAATCGCGTGCTTCCTTTTCTTCGGTCTCACCTTCCGCATCCCATTTCGCCGCTTTGATAACATCGGAAGCGTTGATAAATGTGCCAAATGCAGTTTCGTTGGCCTTCATGAAGTCCTCGCCGGTTTTCACGACGGTGCTATCGGATACAAATGTGGCATTGGAAGTGGAAGTGAGGAAGTTTGTGATTTTAGTTGAAGGATGAAACAATGGATCCTCAGGTTCATAGGTCGCGGCGATAATCGTGAAGACTAAAACACCGATTACAAAAAACGTGAAGAAGACGTTTCCGATTAAAGCCAAGGCGTTTTGACCTAGATTCTCCGGCCGGAAACTACCAGATCGCGATGGTAAACTACGCCCAAGCATCATTTTTTTTTTCTCGAATTAAACGGACACAATAAATAAACAAAATGGAGTATTCTAGCGATAAATAACTAGGGTTTTGGCAAATCTGAGAAGATGTATACCTATATAAACAACAATTTGGATCTATAACTATGACTTACCTTATACATTTGAAAGTCTAATCGATTTACATATTCATCGACACTCTCTTACTCAGATCTGCTTCGTTTGCTGCAGAGTGCGATTCATTTTGAGCTTGTAGGCAGCTGGATATTTTAGTGAGAGTAGAACTGTAGAAGTCAATTGCGAAGGGAAGATGATAACACGTGTACGGTGGAGCGGTGATCGCATTACTGTGCACATGGCGCAAGTTATTATATCTGGTATTTAATGGGCTAACCTAGTCACACCGTTAGATCCACCGACGCATAGGTGGTCGGTCCCACACGGTAATCGTTGTCTCCACGAATTTCAAATGATTTATTATAAACCAAAAAATATTGCAAAATTATATTTTAATAAGGACAGAGGGAGTGATAAAATTTCTACGAATCAGATTCAAGAAAAATAGTTTATCTCCTCTCCCCAAGCCCTTAGTGAGCCACCCTTAGCAACTCATTTATGATTCAAGCCCTTAGGCTAAAGGGAATGGTAGCATGTGCTAAAGCATTGTCACATCATATTTTTTATAGACACCTAAATATAGTTTGATGACATAGAGTGATGATGTGTTTAAAAGATGAAAACCTTTTTCTTAAATCAAATATATGTTTATTTAAATATTCAATTTAATATAAACTTTAATACTGTACAAGTTGTTAAGCTAAATTTACAACTAACTAAAACTGAAAGAATAAAATTGTCGGAAGGGGACCACCTGCTTCTTTTCCATATTCTCTTTCATCTTGCCAAGCACTTGGTGAGGATTGCCTGGCACATGAGTTTAACAGCTACAAAGGAGTGACGGCGAGTATTCCATGTAAGCAAAGCGATGGAGATGGCGAGGCCACTCCCTGCAGCCTTAGTTAGGCTACCTGGAGTGGAACAAATTCCACGCGTGAAAATCCTAGGTGGCAGCCCAAAAGACGTGTGAACACCGCTCCAAAGTCTGGTGGGTTGGGTGTGGCGTCTCCATGAAGACGGAAGAAGCCACCCAATAAGAAACAAGCAGCACATCGATCACTCTCTTTCTCTCTCTTCTTTTTCCCTCTTCACCACCAACCCACCGATGAACATCATTTCCATAGCGTGGTGGGTTGGTTGTGGAATGGTCAAAAATCTATGTGTCACTCTTTTCACACACAGACCACCCGTAAGGATACCACAAAGCCTTAGCGAGTCTTAACGAGGCTTCTTAGCGCCTCCACTCCAGTAGCCTAATATAAAGTTAAGAAAATGACTTAATTATTTTTTTTCAAAAAATACTATTTAAGTTTGGTTTGTATAAAAAATATCGTACAAATAAGATTTTTGTACAAAATCATCAAATTACATCTTTTGTTCAAATGTTATTTGTTGGGGACCGACTTTTCAGGTTAGTAAATGATTTTTGGCAAATTTTATGTTAACTTGTCATTTTTATCGTTTGGGTGGTGAGTTCGCATACCAACTCAGCATTAAATAATCTTAAACGATTTTTTTTCTTTGAACGGTTGAATTATAAAACGAAAACAACCTAGCAAATAGCTAGGGAAAACAATTACAAAAAGTTATGGGTTTTGTAACCACAATGTCCAAGTTATGGTACTACTACATCTTTGAGAAAACCAATCAGACGAATGTAAAACAATGTTATCAAAAATGGAGCTTCTCTTCAACTTGATGCTTTGGAACACAACACCATTTCGAAGCATCCAAATCGTTGGAAGAACAATGACCTCCACCGCCTTCTTCTTTGACTGCAACAAAGTATTCGAATCCACCCAAATGCAAAGCTCAGCAACATTATTAAACAAAAGAAATGATAAATCAAGACACTTAAACATTCTTCTCCAAACATTCATGGTTACTTCACAATGAAAGAACACATTATGTGAATCCTCCACATGTAAGCCACATGAAGGACAAAGAATCAAAGGAATATCAACGTTTCTCACCACTAGGTTTACCAAGGTAGGAATTATATCCAACAACACCCGCCATAAAAGGATATCTACTTTTAAAGGGACTAAACGACACCAACGAGTAACACCTCCACCATCCTGCAACAAAATATCATCAATATGGTATCGCGTGGAATTAACCACAAAAACACCATCCAATCCTAATTCCCACTCCCATTTATCTGTCTGATCCGTGAGAATCACTTGGGACAAACAAGAAAAATGATTCGAGAATTGAGACGCAGTCACACCCCCTTCACGTAACGGTCTATTCCAGTTCCACACCTATTTCCCATGAACACATCTATCACTCGCCAAACAGTTCTTATTAGAATCCATGGCAAACACACGAGGGAATCTAGTCATTAAAAGACCGTTTCCAAGCCAATTTTCATCCCAAAAACGCGTACCTTCACCATTACCGATGTGTTTTCTTAAATAAAAAAGGGATAATATTTTTTCGTGTAAAAAACTAAACAATTTGCTCATCGGAATCCACACACTCGAGCGATTTTGCTTCTTATTCAATTGGTCTAGCCCACCAAAAATGCATACCTTCACCATTACCGATGTGTTTTCTTTGACGACTTTATTAATCATTTTAGGGTAGGAAGAAATCATCTTAAACGACTTCCTCTTCTCTCATGGCTTTTTCTCCTTTTTCTTCTAAATTGATGATCTTCAGCTCAAAGCTCAAACATTTCCAAGATAAAAAGGACCTTTGATGTTGCAAAGTATTGTGGGTGTATGTACCATTCTCGAATTTGGACATCATCCACCAAGTCAAATCCTGGCAGAAAGTTTAAGATTTGTCCAAACTCATTGGTAAGTGTTTCTAAAAGCTTAATCATCTCTTTCTGCTTAAATAATTGCTTGTTTATGTGAAATTTTTTTAATATAGAGGATCCTAAGAAGAAAAATATGGTTTATAGGAATGGTGTGATGAAGATTCAAAATGGGTTGATGAAGATCCAATAAACATTAATAAGGAAGAACTGCATGGCATGGAATGGACTCATACGTGTAATTACCCATCTTTACCCCGACTCAGACACAAAAAATGATAAGGACCCATAGAAGGCTCGATTGCGTATGGCTTTTCACTGTGAACGGTTTTCACAGAAGCAGACTTGATCGTGAAGGGTTTTAAGCATCAAGGTTGTGACATCCCCAATTTCACGGCCAGAAAAGACCGGTTTAATTTATGTTTTTAAAATAATTTCAGAGTAATCATTTGATTAAAAGTGTTGCGAAATTTGTTCCCAGAAAAACATGATAAATATGTTATCAAATCATTTCCAAAGAAATGTATTCTATTCATTTAAACCATTGGGATGTCATCGTCAATACAAAAACATAAGCATAAACAAATCTTACATTCATTTACACTAGTGATCTACTTCTCTTTTAATCTCTCAGTGTAAAGCAACTTCGTATCGATACCTGTGATACAAATAAACTGAGTGGGTCAGGCTTGGAAGCCTGGTGAGCATATAGGGTTTTCAACCCACAATAAATAAATTTATTATGCTTAAACATCAATCAATCAATATCCCAATTACCCAATCCCCATTATCTCTTTTATTTCTTAAGGAGTTACCCTAAGAATCATATATCACTCATTCCTAAGGAATTTTCCTAAGGAATAGGCATGAAGTCCATCGCTGCCCAAGGTTTATACTACAAGCACTAACAAACGTCGATCCCCACATACTGATCCTATACAGTGATCTTACTAGATCTAGCCTAAAGGATCGATATGAACAACCAACTAACGAAACTGCTTCGGAAATCCCCTAGCAGCAAACAAGGATCGATAAAGACATCAAATGAATGGAATATGTTTAACCACGAACCTTTGTTCGTAAAAGAAAGAACCACAAGACAATTAAGTCAGGGGTAGTTATCAATGCCTAGGCTGTGGTCTGAATATCGTGAGGTATGTAACCCCCAGACTCACCCTTTCCGGCATCGAGAATGGAAACACTGACTAATGCCTAGGTTGTGGTCTGAATATCGTGAGGTATATAACCCCCAGACTCACCCTATCCGACATCGAGAATGGAAACACTGACTAATGCCTAGGCTGTAGTCTGAATATCGTGAGATATGTAACCCCCAGACGCACCCTATCCGGCAATGGAAACACTGACTCATGCCTAGGCTGTGGTCTGAATATCGTGAGGTATATAACCCCCAGACGCACCCTATCCGGCAATGGAAACGCTGACTCATGAAGCTCGTCTGATCACTTCATAAAAGAAACAAAGACTCCAAAGCTCTTCAAAATAAAAGTATAGGGAAAATACTAATAAAGTACTCTCGTACGCTCCTGTACCCCGACACGTAATAGTGTCAAAAAGAAGAACTATCGGATGAACACATAGTTCAAAAACACCTAATGAACATATAGTTCGAGAACACCTTATGAACATATAGTTCAAACATACCTACCGATTACGAGTCTGCTAACGTTCCACTGGACTTTCTTAAAGTAGTCTGTGGCCGTTGTCTATACTCTGCTAGATGACTAGATCATCTTAAACATCGATACCTCTCATCACTTTTATTTCATCACACATCATCTAATTCATCTACTCATGTTTTACCAAACATATTTGTAGATAAAAATACATATACAGTTTAAAACTTGTATAAAACATCTATTCAACAGTCACCTTAATTAAACAATTAATATAATTACACATAGCACGTATTTTAAAGAAAATACTTCATATATATGTGTAAGGTGAAAGTGACTATACACTCACATGATTTAATGATAATCGGGCAGCACTTCGTTTCCTAAAACGATCGTTTCTAATAAAACCGGGAGTTTTATTGAGAAACCGGACTCTGTAAGGGTCGGGCTTCGAAACCGAAAAGATAAATTTCCCGGGCTTCTCGGGCACTCCGGGACGT